TCTCTCTCTCTCTCTCAATATGTTTTGTTACGTAAATCATAATGTAAAAAAACTAAGAACAGGTAAAAATTCCCTCCTACGCACATACTTTCTCTTCCACATCTTTTTTTTTTCTTCCTTTTTTCTCCTCTTTCACTTTTCATCATATAAATTCTTTCTTCATGAGTTGTGTGACTCAGGCAGTCCAAGTAACACGTGATAAGGCCTCCTGAGCCTTCTCTCGATTACCCTGAGCTAACTCCAGGAAGACGGCTAGGAGATGATAGACAAGCACCACACCTTGAATACTGCTGCTGCTGTTGTTATTATTATTATTATTGGTACTGTTGCTGCTATTGTCATTTTCCTTCTCTTTAGCCACACGACTATCATAAATCAACGTTAAAAGAGATTCTACAACAGAAGTGGCTTGATTCCATGATCCATTTGCAATATGTGTAATAGCCAAATTAATAAAAAGTGCCTCCACACGACTTTGCTGATGGCTATCCAACTGTTCTGAAGAAGAACCAACAACGAGACTGGATAAAGACGAACGACGTAATACCTTTAAAGCACGATCTGGTTCATTAAGATGTATTAATGCTTCCACCATATATGAAAAAAGAGCAGCATGAAGATTTGGTGAGAGCGGACGGCGCTCATGCAAACTAAGGAGATCATACCCCACATTTACCACAACAGCGTAATTCTTTCGACAAGTCTCAAGAGCGCACCAATAAAAAAGGGCAAAATGAATAAGTTGAACATTATGCGGAAATGCTTCTATAGCACTAGAAGCAGTATACCCTTGAGGTAAAAGCAAAAATAACGCATTTTGAACAGCGCTGGCAACCAAACTTTCTAATGCAGTATCCACAGCACTATCTTTTGGATCTGCAAGAGGTCCTTGAGTAATAACAGCTCCAGGTAATAAAAGATATTCATAATTAGGAAGCATTTTTCCACTTCGTAATTGTTCAGAAAAGTGATCTTGCATTCGTTCATATTCCTCTAATGCCTTATTTCGTGTTTGAATTTGTAATTTACCAACTGCAGCTTCAGCAAAACGTACCCAAAATAAGGGAGACTTTTTCATAAGTTCTTGTACGGAGAGAAAGCATGCAATAGCACTTTCATATTCACCTCGAATAAGAGCACAAAGACCAGCATTGTAAACGATAGGCTGCCGCATTAAAAAAGCATTGCATTGAACAGCGGCTTTTTCTGCCTTTGCAAAACAAAGTGATGCCACATTAACTTTAGAATCTGTCATAGTAAGAACTCCGAGATTGTTAAAGTATACAGAACCTTCTACATCTGAGTTATGTGGAACCTCATGAATATTACTCATATCTGCGAATGCACCATTCACCATACTGAGTAGTGCAGGGGTTTCTGCAAATTTACTCATATTCTCGGTGAGTACTTTTTGAATCATTTCATCATCTGTACGTTGACGATTACGTCCACCTGGTGATGTGCGTGTGATGGTCTGAAAGAGACAAACAGCCCTCACAAGTACGGCAGGTGCGATGCTACTGTGCATTCCCAGCAGTGCGCGGAGAATGACGGCGGCCTCATGCACGAGTCCAGAGCGGGCGAGCAGCAGCGCGCGGTTGAAGTGTGCGGTCTCGTGTCCCTCATACAATAAAGTGACGGCGGCCGACTTGACGTCCTTCTCGTCTGCGGCGCCGTCTGCCAGTGCGGTGATGGTCTGTTCCACATCGGCGTGTCCGAGCAGCAGCCGCACAATGGCGAGATTGTGTTGGGCCTGCAGATCTTCCTTTGGCATTGACTGGAGAATGGACTCGCAGGTTTGGTAGTTCTGCGCGTCAAACGCCTTTTGTGCGTTTTCTAGCTGCTGCCGCAGAGCGTCATCCATTGGCGTGCTAAATTGCTCTTGGTTACGCTTCGTTTTTTCACTTTTTGGTTGTTTTTTTGTTTATTAATCGTTTGTTTGTTTGTATGTGTGTGGTTTCGTTACACAGGTACAAAAAATTAAATAAATAAAAATACACAGACACACACATCATTTAAAGAAGGAAATCAAAAAGAAAAAGAAAAGAAAAAAAAAACATATAAAACAGTGAAGGAAAGGGAAAAAATAAAGAAAAAATATATAAAAATAAAGGCATTAAAAAATAAAAAAAACAATATTTTTTTTTTTTCCTATCATTTACATACAACAAGAAAAAAAAAAAAAAAAACAATAATAATAATCTTCGCTTTGCTTACACTTATGTAATACAACTCTTATCTTCCTACTCTCACTGAACTGTACATTGTAATGCATGTTTTTTTTTTTTTTTTTTTTGTAGTTGCTCTAGAACCCCAGTAAAGTAATATTGCTGCAGTACAAAAATAAGAAGAGAAGAAAAAACAAAAACAATTATTTCTCCTTGGGTTGTATTAACATCCGAAGAAATTCCTCCTTTGAGACACGTTTATCATGATCAAGCACATCAGCTTCTTCTATCATCGCCTGCAAAATATCTTCTGGCATATCCTCACCAATTTCTTGGGCAACACGCTTAAGATCATCAAGCGTTATATAGTCTGATTTCCCTTTCGTAAAGTGTGAAAATGCCAAAGCCACCTCTTCACTATCTTCAGCGAAGAACTTTCCCTTCATGATAGCCTCAAACTCAGGAAGAATGAGATTGCTAGAGACACCGCTCTTGTCCATCTCAGCCACAAGTTTCTTAATAACATCCTTCTGCGGTTCATAACCCAAGGCGCGAAGAGCTACTTTGAGATCATTAGGTGTGATCGTCTCAGTGCCGTCCACATCGAGAATGCGGAAGGCCTCGGCAATATCGGCCCGTTGACTATCTGTTAGATCAGGTGGTAGTCGCTGCGATGAGGGTCGCGAGAAGTCACTTCTATTCATGAATAATGCCTAAGGGAAGAGAGAAACAATAACGATCTAATAATTCAATCCAACCACTGCTGATGTTGTTTGTTTTCTCTATTCTTCCTAATCGCCTCTTTCTTTTTTTTTTTTTTTGTTAAGGAGTGAGAAAGAAGCGGTTTCCGCAGAAATACCACGACTACTACTGTTTTGTTGTGAAAAAAAAAAAAAATAAATAAAAATAAAAATAAAAAATAAAATAAAAAGGAAATACGTTGGAAATAGGAATAGTTTCTGATAATAGAAACAAAAATATAATATCAAAATCACAATATATATATGTTTCCGTGTCACACAGAAGATCTTCACACACTTACACTGCAGAAACCTCCCACTGTGAACCGCAATGGATACAAGTAATAATAATAAATATGCAATCACATTTAAAAGGAGGGAAATATATAACGAAAAACCCCCCAAAAAAAAACAAAAAAAAAAAAAGAGACAAACGTAGCTTTGTGCCCATATCAAGATATAGACATTAATGATAAATAGCAAAAAAAAACTAAAAAAAAAAAGGGAAAGAGCTTAGTCCTCCTACCTTCTTCTCTTCTTTTTTACTTTTTTTTTCTCTTTGAGTCACTTCTTCTTAAATTCATAGTTGTTCTGCTACAAAAGTGACTATCAATGCATATTTTATACTTATCATCAACTGCCAGCTATTACGCTGAATAAAATAAATTCATCCACAGGGATCCTCATAAGGGTTTATCACCTGTAGAATCATAAAACAGAAATTGATGATATGTGTGTGCATTGAAATTTTACGCACGAGTCTTATATATATATATATTGCGTTTACTGCAGACTCGTGCGATGTTTATCGTCAGGAAGAACCACAGCCGCCTGAAAGAGATCCCTTCGGAAGTGAGTGTATATTTGAACCTCGTAAAGAACGACCACCAAAGTTACTACTCATGGATCCTGGCCGCATGTTATTACTACGCCCTTGCCCATTATTCCTGGGCGGTTCGGAAGAGAATAGCATGTAAAAGAATAGCCTGATCGTATGAAAAATGGAAAGGAAAAAATCGAGAAGACTAAATGGTTTCTTCTCAAGGACCTGACCATTAGAAATGTACGGCATGTCTCCTCTTCAGCTACCTATCTGAGGTAGCTTAAACACCACCTGCAGAACGCAGAATAATATTAAAAAAGAAAAACAGAAGGGTTCAGAACTGCTTATAGAGAATAAAAAAAAAAAAACAGAACCAAACCCAGTAACCTATACTAAATAGATTGTGTGTTCAATAAAATAGAAGAACAAAAAGATATATAGGAGGGGCAAAAAAAGAAAAGAAAAGAAAACAAAAAGAAAAAAGAACAGAAAACAAGTGAACCTCTATAAAAAAAAAAGAGAGAAGGTGGTAGAAACAATACAAAATAACCAATAAGCAACTGTAAATCAAAAATAAGAAATAAAAACCACTTAGATTATATATATATATATATTGTTTTATCCGCAGCTGTATATTTTCAACGACTTGAAAATATGTTCAAACATCCTCCATATCCTTCACTTCTTCTCCTCCCCGTATTCCTTGTAATTGTTCTCCTCGTACAGCTGACATGGGTTCACCTTCGTTAAGGGATTGCAATAGAACACAGGCACGACAGATTTTCTGACTTGTAACATAACCACATCGAATACAAGATCTTTGTGGATTTTCCGGAACGGACTCTTTTTCCTTTACACGTAGACGTTCCGCTGAACGAATAGTATCGAGAATACAACGTGGTTGCAGTACTTCAAGTTCCTTGAGAAGCATCCGTGCCTCGCCGCGAAAGGCATCCTTACTGTAGGTGCACTCTGTAGTAAAGTAGTCCAATTGCTGCAGATGAGCATAAAGAACAATCTCCTTCTCGTAGGCGTATTTGAGTGGTTTCACACGAGGAACAAGTCCCTCTCCTGCAGTAACGGCACTAGTGCATCGTGCTAAGCGTGGAAGGTCCGCACGCAACATATTCATCAATACCGTCTCTGCCATATCATCTGCGTTATGTCCAGTAGCAATTTTCGTAGCGCCCAGTTTAGCAGCCCCACGATCAAGTGCATATCTTCGAAATACACCGCAGAAGGTGCAGCTATTACGTAATCCTACGCGCTGCACAACTTCATCCATATCCCATCCGTAGAGTTGTTTGTGACTAACGAGTTCCAGTGGGAGTCCGTAGTGATCGGCGTTGCGGTGGACGGTGGCGAGACTCTCATCGCGATAACCGGCGATTCCCTCGTCCACGCTGAGAAGATGCAGCCGCACGCCGTAGTTGTGGCGATCGTTGAGACGGGCGAGGAGATGCATGAGGACTGTGCTGTCCTTCCCGCCACTCGCCCCGCAGACCACAACATCACCGGGAGTGAAGAGGGACTCGGCAACTATCGTCGCGTGTACTTCTTCTTCAAATAGATGGAAGAAACACTCGCGGCAGAGGAATTGACCATTGCGGGGACGTTTTAGAATAGCCTTCTCATTACCGCAGTGGCTGCAGAGACGACGGGGAGGCATCTCCACCTAACAGATTCCTTGCTAATCTGGAAGTGTATATATATACACACACACAGAGAAAGAGAAGTAGATAGATAGATAAATAGATAGATATTGAATAACAAACTGTTTTTCTTCTTTTCTGTACTAGAACTAATTGGCATGAGTAAATTGTTTACACATGATCATGTGAGGAGTGCCCGTATGAGTGAGTGAGTGTGTGTGTACGTACAGAGAAAGAGAGGGAGAGATCGAAAAAGACAATAAAAAAAAAAGAAAAGCATATCTATCTTATATGTATAAAGTTTACAGAAATAAGGTAGGCGTTATTGCCCCACCATAAAAAAAGGAGATAAAGGGATAGTATATTTACAACAAAAATCATCATTAAAAACGATAAAAGATTGGCATTCTTCACGGTCTCCAAATAAACAATGTACGATACGTACAAACTCTAAAAAGCAATAAACTTCATATATATATATATATATATATATATATATATATATATATATATATAGTAGTAATAGTAATAGTTATGTACCCACTTAACCTCTACCAGAGGTAATACTTGTATTAAGTATTGCTGGTTTGTAATTATGTGTGCGTATAACAGCGGTCGGCTCCAAATGAAGAAGCTCCGCAATCTTTTCTCCAGTATCTTTGTTTAAAAACAGTGTCCCATTCGATATAAACTGTTGCGGCTGTTTCTGCTGCAGCTGTTGTTGTTGTTGTTGTTGTTGTTGTTGTTGTTGTTGTTTTTTTTCTCGTTTCAATGAAGATATCTTCCTCTCACGAAACAACTCATCTTTATTATAGTCATTGGATTGAGTTGATTCATTATCAATATAGAGTCTTGTTAAAACAGCTCCTTCTACTGTATTAGATGAACTTCCATTTAAATGTTGCGGTATATTTGGAGATGCAAGTAAATCATTTAATCTCTGTTGAACTTCCTCAACTGCTTCCCATGTCGCAACTACTTCTAATCGTTTCTCCACATCTCTAACACTATAATGAGCAGCCTCTGCACTTTTACTAGCACCAACTACAAGTGCACGAAGGGTTGATATCTCTTTCTCAGTGGAATCCATAAAAGATTTAAGTTTCTTCTCAGATTCTTTTCGTGCTTCTATCTCTAAAGTCAAGGAATCACGTAATTCTTTATTTATCATCTCCAACTGAGAAACCCTTTCCGCAAGTTGATTATTGTCAACAACAGAAGAAGATTTGCTGCCATTACCATTACCTGTTGCATTTTCTTCTCCATGGTTTTCTCTCCTGTTCCACATATAATTAGGATCTTCAGAAGATTTCACATTTGTAGACTCCAAAGTTTCCCATTTCTTCGGTTTTTCTTCTTCTTTTTCAATTTGTCTATCTCTAGAAGCTTGTGGAGGTGAAGGTAATGAAGGGGAACCTCGACGCGTCCATTCAAGTTTTTTCGAACCCGAATAGGTCCAATGATTCCCCATTATTCCATTATTTTCTCCATTTGATTTCTCACTAGAGATGGACCGCAAATCCACACGAAATGTTGCCGGCCCTTCCAAATGCCCTGCGGAATGCGGAGGAATTAACGTCGTCACACTGGGACTCGTCTCAGAACTATACGGTGCTTCTGCCTCACTCTCCCGACTGCGTCGAAGAGAAACAACAGAAACCCTTTTCTTATTATTATTATTATTATTTGTGCCACTACTACTTCGACTTCGGCTAGAACGATGTTCACATAGAGCCACATGTGTCTTTATAGAGGAAAGTCCGAGCTGCACGCCACAGTATGGACAAGCGGAGAGAGTGTTCATTTGCTGTCACTGGAAACGTGAGGAGAACGCTATAGATAACAGCAATACACTACTCCAGATGATCATTAGTAGCAGAAAGGAAAAGAAAGAAAGAAAGAAATACGAAGAAATAATAAAAAATAAAACAGATAAAAGCAAAATGATACAAAGAAAAGTAATAAGAAAGTAAAGAAACCAATAACGAAAAAAAAAAGAAAAAAAAAAAGAAAATACATAATCTAAAGGGAGTGAAAAGAAACAAACAACAACAAAAAAAAAAAAGCAATCCGAGCTTGGTATAAGAAAAAAGTATATGAAAAAAAAAAAAAATTAAACGCAAGACCTCACTCATCCAAAGAAAGTAATCTTAGGAGATGAAGAATAAAAAAAGAAAAAAAAAAAAAAACGTCTCGAGATGCGTCACTAAAAGAAACAAAAAGAAAGAAAAAAAAACGCAAAACAAACAAAAAAAAAAAAAAGAATAAAATAAACAATATCAAACCTCTTTATTGTTGTCGCTGTAATACTGGAGATGATGATTGTTTTTTTCTTGTTGGTAAAGGAGCCAATTTACGAGCACGATTAATTGGAGAACCATGAGCGGAAATAACATTTCCTTCTGTAGGCTCAGAGTATACCCCAATTCGTTTCTCTTTTGAACTCATTCTAATAAACTGTGGAGACCCATCGCGAGGGACCAAACCACTACTTAAAGCAGCTGTTCGTCCACTATGAACTAGTGGCTTCTGCGAAAGAGAATTTCCCAAAACATTAGGTCTAGCACTAGGATTAGATTTTCTCGGCGACAATGCCGTCATTTGTTTTGAGTAACTAAGCCTTTTTTGTTTAGGAAAGTTTGAATCACCAGGTAAATTGGTATTTACTTTTGCCACCACACCTAAATGTTGTTGTTGTTGTTTCTTCTGAGACTGATACTGATCCTGGTAATATGAATAGTAAGGGCTTGCAGAAGTAGTTTTCTTTGATCGCGATACCACAATTTGTTGTAACGGTTTAGTAGTAGAAGAGTGTGCTGAACGATATTGTGCTTTTACACCAGCAGGAAGTAACAACTTGGTCCGCGCTACTGCTCTAACACGTTGAAACGCTGGCCCTGTTGTTGGGCGTCTGCGGTTAAGCATATCATCACTAACTGAACCTGATTCTATTGAGAGGCGTTTAGCTCGATCCACACATGGAGAAAAACGCCGTCGTAGTTGAGATCCTCCTCGTTTTTCACTTATTTTCCGTTTCTTATCTTCTTGCTGTGATTGTCCACCCATGTAATGATTCATAATCCATGGTACAGCAACTGTTCGCCACAAGTTATTAAATATAGTATCCACAACTGTTTGCATTGAAGATTCATAGTTATCTTTAAAATTACTCTTATTATTATTATTATTATTATTATTATTATTATTATTATTAGTAGTAGTAGTAGTAGTAGTAGTAAAAGTAGTATTTATTACATGGTTTGCCTCATTTTTATTTTTAGAGAATAAGGCAATTTTATTATCATCAGAACTACTACCCTTATCACCTATAAATTCCTTCGTTGACACTACGTTTTCCTTCCCCAATACTCCATATTTTTGTTCTTCATGACTCACATTTGATAATTTCCTTTCTGATCTATCTATAGACAGTGTTGTCCCCATAACACAGAGGGAGTCTACAGGTATTGTTGACCTCCACTCATAGACTTCACTATTTAATACACGCTGCTGCTGATGTTCACCGCGAGCAGGTCTATATGGATTCCAGTCTGTTCTAGGTCCTTCTACTGCCTCTTCAAGAGCTTTTTCACTACGTACACTGTTCAGCAATTGCTGCCATAGATCTGCAAGTTTCTTCTCCGTAGTTCCCCCTATTGATTCACTGAATCCAACGTACCAACTGCAGCTTCCTTCAGAGGTCATTCATTTATTTCTCCGTGCTAATGAGTTTTTTTTTTTCTTTTTCTTTTCTTTTCCTCTAACCTTTTTTTTTTTTCTTCTACCGTTTCTGAGTCTTTGTATGACTAAATAAATATATATATATATATATATATATATATATATATATTTCTCTGTGCTTGCTTGCTTGCTTGCTTGATATCCAAAGTTAAAAAAAAAAGGCAAGCAGATGCGGCAACGACGACAATAGCAGCCGGAAAAAAAAAAGAAACAAATAAAGAGGTGAAGTAAGAGCAAAGGAATCGAGGAAAACAAAGAGCAAAACAAAACAAAAAAGAGAATATATGACTTTTCCCCTAATGGTTTCAAAAACCATCACTATCACGGAAAGGAAAGGAAAGAGAAAGAATAAGAAACAACAGGAGAAAAAACTTCTTCCCATACGCCTCTTTTAATCTTTCCCCCCAAGACCCTCTCCCACCCAATTGTATACTACAGATCCCAGACTACAAGAAAAATAATAATAATGGTAATAATAATAACAATGTAAGAAACGAAAATAAATAATCACTAATGTACTTCCAAACTAGACACATCTCACCAAATCATCTGTAAAGAAGCACTTACTTACAAAAATAAAACATCGTTGACTACCGGGCCCCTTTTACTGAAGAAAACATCTTGACACCGGTCGATGTTGTATGTATGTATGTATGTATACAAGATATAGTTTTATTGTTTCGTACATTTTTTTTTTTTTCTTCTCCGCTTTGAAGGGATTTTTTCTTTATCCCTCTTCCTTCTGTATCTTTCTACTTCTTGCCGAGTTTCGTCAAAGTTTTGGATGTATTCTTTTTCTTCTGCATCCGCCACAGCTTGGCAATGGCTGCTACCCGTTTATTATACTTCATCTTCTGAACGGCGTGAGCATGTGGACGTTTGCGTTTTGTCTCTTTTCCAGTTTTACGTTCTGTAGTCTTTCGTTGTCGTTGTGAAGACACAGCTACTGTATTTTTTGTGCGTACTGCTTTTTTTTTCTCCACAGTCGCCTTATTTCTAGTCGTTTGACTTTTATTCTTTACATTCCTGACTGCCCCTTTATTATTTACTATGCTCTTTTTATTTATCTTTCCAACTACCTTTGTTTCTACCTGTCGTCCTCGGTTGACTAGTTGTGCATTTCCACGTTTTACTACTACAGGTGTTAGTCGCTGTTGTGTTTGTACTCGTGTTGCTGTTTTTCCAATCTGCCGTGTGGCCCACAGTATCTGAAGTGTGTTGCTGTTGCCCAGCGTGAGGAGACGGCGTAGCATGGCACTGCTAATAACCGATAATAACAACAACGATAGATAAATAGATAAATAAATAGATAGAGAGAGAGAGAGAGAGAGAGATGGGATGTGAGGAGAGACTAGAGAGTTTTCACTCCTATCAATCTCCTTCTCTTGGGGCTATAAGAGACCGAAAAGTGAGAGAAGGGGAAGGAAGGATGAAGAAGAAGGGCTGTTGACTTCTGCAGTGATCCGCTGCTTCATAGAGCCACAAGTCATGATATATTAAATGATGTGCGTAGGGGAAAAAAAGAAGAAATAGTGAGAGTGATACAAAAAAAAAAAAAAAAAATGAATGGCAAAATCACAAGAGGTTCTCTCAAGTGAAAAAAAAAACCACACACGCACAAAAACATATATATATATAACACGTACACTCTGAAAAGTACAAGACTAAATGTCTTCTTGAACCTTTATACAAAAAAAAAAAAACAAGAAACAAGAAATTATCCCTGGTAATAAACAACAACTATATATATATATATTAGGATTTACGCAGAAACAAGCAAGCGACTGCTGCCACAGCCGCAACAACTCCAGCACTCGCCAAACCAGTCGTCACACGAGATTGTGTCATTTCTGCATCAATAAATTGTTTTAATGCGATTCCCTGACGATGATGTGGCTCTAACTGAAGCATATGATTAACAGAAGCCTCCGCCTTATCAAACTTCTGCAACTTAATCCATCCTATTGCCAAATAATAGTAGTGAATAGCGAGATCAGAAATTGGTACAACATTTTCATTCATCTTATAATCATCCTCCACTACCAGTCTTTCATGAGGTGCTGATGCTCCCACTACAACTTCCCCCCGTACAACACCTGAATCCCCTAAAGTTTCACCGCTTGTCATTCCTTCTAAATTATTGAGATCTGGAGATGAAGGACCGTCCCAATGCCGTTTCCATGCACTGTAGCCCAACAATTCCATGATAGATAAACCCTTCTCAATAAAAGATCTACGGGAATGTGAAATCATAAGAGTGGCATACTCAAATGCAATATGACGATTTTCTGGATCACGATCGTATTCCCTACTGAGTCTAGAAATACCTTCGTCTAATCCTCGCAACTCATCTCGTGAAGGCGACAAAAGATGCCTTATATTAGGGTCTTTTCTAAAAAGTTCATCAAGTAGATCAGATGGTCTATCCATTTTCTACTATTTATTCGCCTTTCCGTTATACGTTTCGGTTACCTTCGATATATATATAAATATATATATATATATATATATATATATATATTTCTTTTTTCTTTCTTTTTACCCTAGCGATCTATTTTTATTTTTTGGAATGGGGTTACACCGTTCGTCCTTTTCTGTAGTATCGTGATCATCATAGCAAAAAAAAAAAAATAAAATAAACCCCAAAAGAGAATCAGGCATAAGTTTTAGAAGGGGCAGAGTTAAAGAAGAATGGAAAATAAGAAAAAGAAAAAAAAAAAAAAAAAACAGTTTCTCTCGTTGTTAAAAATATATATGTTCTACACCAATAACAATAATAATAATAATAACATGAAAACATAACACCGAAATAAAATCAGATGAAAAAAAAAAAAACACACTCAACCACTTTATAGAGATATTTCTCTTAATGTTCTTGCCTTTAGTAAATATTTCCTTCTGCCCCCTTTTTCACTTCTGCAAACCAAAGATTACTAATTATGAAGAATTTGCCTGAGCTAGTTCAAGTGTTTCTTTTAGAGTTTTTGTAAACTCAGCACCACGAGTTGCAGCTTGTTGTCCAGTGTATTTCAGTAAATATGTTGTAATTTTGTCGTTTGATGGCATCGCGAAAATGACGTGTGTATCTTCTGCTTTATTTAGACGGAAACTGCTGCATAGTGGGGCGTTAAGAGTGTAACCATCTCGAACAATAAGGCGATACAAATACTTCTGTTTTTTTTCATCCCCTTTTGAATTCTCAGATTCATGCCGTTTAACCTTCGCATCACCAGCGCCACAATCCACCCAACTATTGCTCTCCAACTTGAACACAAATAACTTGGCAGGAATAGAAGCCAACACTTCACCAGTTGAAGCTATTACAGGTGTTGCATTCGCGAGTGCATCATTAGTAGAATTCGACTCTGGAGATTCTGAAGTCGGTGCTGTCTCAGACGCAGCATCTCCTGCTTTGGCCATTTTTTCTTTTGCCTCCAAGAAAGAATTTACTGTTCCACCAAAATTAAACGCCCCTCCAAAGAGCGTTGTCGACGTACCACCGCTGCTGGTACCGTTGTTATCCTTATTGTTATCCTTGGTAGTAGTCGTAGTAGCAGTAGGGTTCGTCGTCGTTGTCGTGGTGGCCGTGTTCGTGACATTGTCGTTCTTAACCCCAAATGTAAACTTTGGGGTTTCAGCAGAAGTTTTCTCTGCTGATGGTGTTGTAAACGAAAAAGAAGTGGACCCTGTTGACTTTTCACCAAACGAAAAAGAAGGCATAGAAATATTCTTCTCACCTGTACTATTATTGCTGTTTTTATCGCCGTCAGAACCAAATCTCGTGGTAAGAGTCGGTACACTTGCTGGTGATATACCCGAGACGGCACTGAAGACACCACTTAGCGATGGTGCAGCAGTTTCTTGTGGAGTGGAGCGTCGAACACGCACAACCCGACGCGCCGCCATTGTTGCCTGATCGGCGTACTTTGGAGTGTTGTCGAGCTCCTCATCCCTGTCTGGTGTAAGAGCGCGCTTCTTGCGCATTTCCGGGTGATCCGCCATTGCAGATATAAGGGAATCGAAATGGAAACTTTAAAAGAGAAAAAATATAAAAAAAAAAAAGAGAGAGAGAAAGTAAAGAAAAAAAAAAAAAAA